TTGCTTTGACTGTAAATAGTGTTCTGTTCTCCTGTTGGGAAAAGCAACACTAGGTAATACTTCTTCGCAGGAAAACAAAAATCAACAGTTTTTACCTTGCTTCATCTTGATTCCCTCAACTTAAACTGCTGTCATCACTCATTTTAGCAGACAGTGAATTATCCTTCCCCAGGGCTGGGGTAATCCTAGACTCTGTGGAAGACCTTTCTTTCATTCTTTTTTTTTTTCCTTTAGATGCATGAAATAAATGTTTCTTTAAGGGAGTCACAATATTCTTCAACAATTCTACTGACAAGAGGAAGAAATATCAATGTTTGCAAAATTCCAGGTGCTCTCTAACGGAAACCATCTGTTGGTGAAAGTACAGGAATTATGAACTATGTCAAAGAAACACAGGAAGAGACTTCAAAAAGGTCATGTGTGTTCTGGTTGCTCTGATCCAAGTCCATGTTAATGTGCCTAGCAAGGTGAACGTGTATGGGCCATGTTTTTTGGTTCTACCCACCACGTAGGATATCCGTTGCTGCACCAAAAGCTGGTTCTATGGAACAGTTTCAATACATGGTTGCCATGGCAGCTGGACTGCAGCAGATAAGCACAGGGCACTAGGAAAATGTTTACAGACAAGGGCCATAGAGAAATCCATGGTAGCTGGAGAAGAGTAGGATTCAAGAGAGTACTTCAGACTACTTGGTATTCATGTGGATCAGCTCTGGCCATTACAATCATTTGGAAAGCAAACCAGTGAATGGAACGTCCCTCTTTCTACCTCTTCCTCTGTCTCTCTGCCTATGAAGTCCAAATCAAATGGAAATGCATTTTAAAATGTTATGGAAAATGGCAAAAGTGTTATATTGATGCAAAAACATTTTTAAAGAGATACATTATATTCTCAATAATGAATTTTACATGCAGTTTTAAAGATCCTATGTATATTTCCTATTTTAAAAATATGTAATTATGGGCCTGGCACGATAGCCTTGTGGCTAAAGTACTCATATTACATCAGGATCCACTATGGACACCAATTCTGATCATGGTGGCCCCACCTCCCATCCAGTTCCCTGCTTGTGGCCTGGGAAAGCAATCAAGAATGGCTCAAAACCTTGAGAACCTGCACCCATGTGGGAGACCCGGAAGAGGCTCTGAGCTCCTGGCTTCAGATCAGCGCAGCTTCAGCTGTTGTGGTCATTTTGGGGGTGAATTGGCAGGCAGAAGATCTTCCTCTCTATCTCTCCTCCTTTCTGTATATCCGCCTTTCCAGTAAAAATAAATAAATCTTTTTAAAATGACATAAATATGATAGTATGATATGGATTGATACTGATGCTAGCATTTGTTCTGATGGAGTGCTTGGGCTTCATTCTGAGTTCCAATTAGCAATTTCAGCTTCTTACTAATGGAGGCCTGGGAAATAGGAGGATGACCCAAGTGGTTAGGTGCCTTGCTACTCAGGTGGGAGACATAAGCTCGGGCCAATCCTGGCCTGTGTGGGTATTTGAGATATGAACCAGCAGGTAGGAACTCTCTCTCTCTTTTTCTCTCTCTCTCTCAATCTCTCACCCTGACTCTTGAACACTTTTTTACAAAGCTTAATTCAAAATGTGTATCTGAGCAAAAAGAAAACTTTATAGCAGAAATAATATACAAAGAAGAGCCCATTAGGTTCCATATGTTCCTTATGACCCGGGCCGTGCAGGACCAGCATAGCTAAGCCAGGAACTCAGTCCAGTGTTATGTGAGTGACAAAAAGCCAGGGACTTAAACCATAACTGAGGTTCTCAGGGTCTGCGTATTAGCCCACTTTACATTTATTAAAATATCCAAGAGGAGCTTTTTGGGAAAGAAAAGGTACAATTCACCTTATAGCCTAGAGCATGTAACTCAGACTGATAGCACTGTAGACTGGTGTCTAATGGAAGCTAGTCATGGTGGGTGCAGAGTAGTGATCACATGGCAAGTCAGAAAGGAGAAAAGCTAGACTGAACTTGAAATCAAAGAACTCTCAAGAGACCTATCCCCTAGGTCCTAAAGACTATCCACTGGCCCTGCCTCCTAGCCACAAAAACTAAATACTAACTCTATACACGTAATTCATCAAGTATTCACATGAATGCATTGGAGTTTAAATGTCTCCATGAGTTTGGGGAATAAAAAGTCTAACCAGTCCATAACAGTCAGGCATCTGGAGTCAGGAAACCAGCTGGTTATCAATACAAGGCACTCAGTATCAAGATTTGGCATCCTAATCGACATCTTAACTGTTGGGCTAAATGCACAATTGAAAGTAATTTTCTATCAAAAAAAATACCTCATTTGATTTGCCTCACATTTTGGAAAGGGCTGATCTGTAGCCATGGTAACAACAAAATGCCCAGCAATGGTGTTAATTTTGTTCATTTTGTGCCCACCGGCCTCACTCAATCATCTATCAGTGTCAGCCTCCTGCTTATAAAGAACAATGAGGGCCAAGCTCACTACATGAACATAGCTCATGTGCCAGCCAATCAACCACAGTCATACTTGAATAAGCATGCTGCTGTAACAGATGGTGTCATCCCTTTCTGCCTCTGAAAGTCTGCCAGTCATTAATCTCCACTGTTCCCAAAATCCTACGCAAACCCAGCAAGCTGTTCCGCTAAGACAAATTCAGCCTGACCAGCACAGCTTTCTCTGACCATTGAAAGCAATTCCAATGTAGTCTTTTTATTTCAGATAGTGAATAAAAATTGATTAATCTGTGATAAGAACTTTTGAAATCATTGTATTACAAATCATTTTATTTTCCTCAAGAAAATGAAATAAAATTTGCAAATCCTTTTGTCTATTTTACTATAACGATCATAAATACCAATGAAAAAGTGAATAAAAGCATCTGTGCTACTGAAAAAAAAAGAAAGACATCAATGTAAATATAGCTTATAGAAAGAGCTAAAACGTGCCACATATTGCAAAAATTTAAAAAAGAAAAGGGATGATGAAGGTGGGTGGAAGGGAGAAAGGAAAGGTAAGTCATTATGTTTCTAGAATTGCACAGCAAGCAATCATAGAAGCTTGATGGATACCACATTGATAAAAGGAGCTCCAAATTGAAATTTTTTTCCCCTAAAATTTTCCTGTAGGCTCAACTTACAAAAGCAAACTAAACACTTATATAAGCCACATTTAGTCTATTGTTCCCTTGTTTTTCTATTTGTTGTGAATGTGCCTCCATATAGTTGTGTACATAACATGTAAGATCTTCCAGTTTTTTATTGTCAAATGTTTTATCAAAAAGGCCCAGCACATAATACAAAATGTGTAACACCCACTAGAAATTTTTTTCACACACTTAATTTAGAAACTATTTTTATTTAACAATTTCAGACTGTTAATCAAATGATTAGTCAGTTCACAGGACTGCTGAAGCAAAAGTATTAAAACAATTTTCATCTGTATTCTTATTTCATGTTTTCTGCATTAAAATCCCCATGCTGATTATGTGCCAGGAATCTATGAGCTTGACAAACTAATACACTTCATACAGTAATAACTAAAAAACACAAATAGGATTTGCTACCACCCTAATAAATATTTGTGGAATAAAGATATGAACAGTAACAAAGAGATTTTTAAAAATATGTAAAGGATAGGTTCTACTTAGCAAAGACCATGCAGAAGCAAATTTCTAAATGTGGGTATTTAAAGCTAAAGATAAGAACTGTGTAGGAAGCTCTCCTCCCATACAGGGGTGCCTGGTTCAGGCACTGCTACTGTCCTCCTCACAAAGCTTTCTGATTCTGATCCAGCTAGCTGCTACATACACACTGAGGAAGCTGCAACCGCTTGGGGAGAGAATCGACAGACAGAAGACCTTCCTTTCTGTCTTCCCCTCCTCCTTGTATATCTGGCTTTGTAATAAAAATAAAATAAATCTTTTTTAAAAAGTCTAGATTTAGGGCCCAGAGCGATGGCACAGTGGTTAAGGTCCTCGCCTTGCACACCCGAGATCCCATATAGGCACTGGTTCTAATCTCGACAGCCCAGCTTCCCATCCAGCTCCCTGCCAGTGGCCTGGGAAAGCAGTCGAGGACAGCCCAAAGCTTTGGGATCCTGCACCTGTGTGGGAGACCCAGAAGAGGCTCCTGGCTTCGGATTGGCTCAACTCCATCCGTTGCAGCCGCCTGGGGAGTGAATCATGGGATGGAAGATCTTCCTCTCTGTCTCTCCTCTCTGTATATCCGCCTTCCCAATTTAAAAAAAAAAAAAAGTTTAAAAAAAAGTCTGGATTTAACAGTAAGCTCTTCTCTAAGCAGTTGTTTCTACCCAAATAGGCTGTCCGTTTACTATTTATTTCTCCCCTCCTGTTTGTCACTTATCCTCATTATTGTCAATATGATCTCAGAGATCTCAAATTGATATGGCATTGACTCATTGATGCTGCGTTATCCAACTAAGAGTTTCTATCCAACAAAATTAAACAGTACAAACTAATATAAACTAGGGAAAATAAAACAAAAAAAAATCAAAAACAAAAGTCATTTTGATATTATAGTCCCTCAAATACCCAATTTCCACATTTTGGATGGCTGTCCCCCTTTTCTCATTTTATTATTCCCTCTAAATCTACTAACAGAATTTATTTTATAAAATTAGTTTACTGAGGACCTTGTCAGCAGCAAGATTTCACTGTGACATATTTCTGCCTTAACTTTTAAGCTAAGGCCCATTTTCATCGCAAACTTTGCTCTTCTGTGTTGTTATTACGCTAGATAGGAAAAAAAAAATTAACCAAAAACCTTAGTACAATTCTACATTTAACAAATCCAGGGTTTTCATCAATATTTTCCATAAATACATAAAAGAAAGTTGTACCAGGCTGGCACTGTGGCAGAGTTAAGCTGCTGTAATGCCAAGATCCCATAAGCACTTGTTAAGAATCTTGGCTGCTACACTTTCAATCCAGTCCCTGCACTTGTGAAGGCAGCAAAAGATGGCCCAAGTCTACACAACGGACCTTGATGGCAATCCAGGATCCTTGCTTCAGCTTGGCCCGAGCCCCAGCCACTGCGGTCATTCGAGGTGTAAAGCAGAGCGGGGGTAAGATCAATCTCTCTGTCTCTTCATCTTTCTCACAAATCTAAGGGGAAAAAAAATAAAAAGGAAACTTTACTCTCCAGTGCTTCGTCAAAGTATCAATATTTGGCGTGCATTTCTAGATTATTTTTTTCAAATTACTTTCATTCAAAATGATGGTTTCCAGATATGGATACTTCACCCTACTTATGGTAGCATCAAACAGGCTGTTCTAAGTATTTTGAAAACAAAGCAGATTTATCTGTACCTTGTTTCTTGCTCCAATATCTGTTATGGAAAAGCAGTTTTGCTGCTATTGCCATATCCTAATGAGATACAGCATAGTGGAGGGCAGTGTTCCATCACTGTCTGCAAAATGTAGCTCAGCAGCATGTTCCAGCGCAATAGGCACACGCTTCTCTTTCCGGCAGCAGACAGCCTGTCAGTTTGACAGGAACAGTGAAATTCTTACTTCAAAAATTCTAAATAAACATTCCAGGAGCTTCCTCAATTTTCGTTTTTATTTAAAGTATTATCAAATCCACCTCATGCTTAAATGGTGGGTAGTGCCTATTTTAATCAGAGTTGTCCTGTTGTCATTGTTTGCAGGTGTCAAGCAAACATTTTCTATCCAGTTGGAGAGCCACCACTTTTAGAAGGCCAGTGGAGCAGATCAAATATAGAATGGTCCTGTCTCAGTGAGAAGGCTTTTCAGGAAATCACCTTGCACTATCTAAAAACAACCAGTTACTCATGCAGCTATTAACATTAAATAGTATGTTATTCTTCTGACTTCAAAATATTTACTGTCTCCTACAGAAAGTACAATATGTATGAGCTCTCATTAATCATTACATTAGGGAAAGAGCAGTTTATTTAAAGATAAAATGGAGAGCCTTTTAATTTAGCACAATTTGATTTTGATCCTTCTTTAAGCTCTTTAAGTCCTATAGTGCGGCAGATAAAAAATATTTTTTAAAAAATTTATTTTATTTTTATTGGAAAGGCAGATCAGATTTACAGAAAGGAGAGACAAAGAAATCTTCCATCCACTGATTCAGTCCCCAAATATATAAAACAAACAGACTGAGATGATCTAAAGGCAGAAGTTAGGAGATAATTTTGGGTCTTCCACCTACGTACAGGGTCCCAAACGGCTTTGAGCCATCCTCCACTGTATTCCCAGGGTATAAGCAGGGAGCCAAATGTAAAGTAGAGTAGCTAAGAAATGAACCAGGACCCATATGGAACACTGGCAATTGCAGGCGGATGATTAACCATCACGCCAGCCACGAAAACATTTTTAAAATAAAGTTACTTCAAATTTCAAAAAACATAAAGCCAAAGAAAACTGAATTCAAATGAACAGGTATAGCTTGTTCCATTCAACATTTAGATTAACAGAATAAATGAAAATAATAATTTCCAACTGATCAGTAAATTACATATTTTTAAAAGACAGTTATAGGTTACTTTTTATAATTTCTTTTTTTATTGTTATTAACATTGTATTATGTGATACAGTTTTATAGGCACTGGGGATTCCCCCCACCCCTCCCATACCCCTCCCCCCATGGTGGATTCCTCCACCTTGTTGCATAACCATAGTTCAAGTTCAGTTGAGATTCCTTCATTGCAAGCATATACAAAGTCCAGCATCTTATTGTCCAGATGAGTTCAGTGGCCTCTTGGGGAGACCTTCTTTGGTCTGAAGGTAGAGCTAACAGAGTAAAGTTCCGGTCAGTTAAAAGCCCCAACAAAACCTCAGCATCAATATACAACATTACGGAATTAATTGACATAGTATTGAGTAAACAATATGTTAAAAATAATGCAAGTTCAATTCTTCAAAACATCTGGGTTGAGACAGTATCAATGACACGTTCAAAAAATAACAAACAACCAAACAAAAATTACAGGTTAAATCAAGGCAAACATGTGGTATCTAACCTTTTGTGATTCGCTCATTTCCCTTAGCATTATAGTTTCCAGTTGGGCCCATTTAGCCACAAAGAACTGCATTTTGTTTTTTTTTTTTTTTTAATAGCTGAGTAGTATTCCATGGAGTAGATGAACCAAAGCTTTCTTATCCAATCTTCTGCTGATGGGCATTTCGGTTGCTTCCATGTTTTTGCAATTACTGATTGTGCTGCAATGAACATAGGGATGCGTGTTGGTTGTCGTAAAACAGGTGTTTTGGATATATTCCTAGGAGTGCTATTGCTGGGTCATATGGTATGCAGATTTTGAGTTGTTTGAGTGTTCTCCAGACTAATTTCCATAAAGGCTGTACCAATTTGCAGCTCCACCAGCAGTGGAGTAGGGTTCCCTTTTCCCCCGCATCCTCGCCAACAAGTGTCGTTGGTGTTCTTTTTTTATGTCGTCCAATCTTACTGGTGTTAGGTGGTACCTCATCGATGTTTTAATTTGGATTTCCCTTATTGCCAGGGAGCTGGAACATTTTTTCATATGTTTGTTTGCCATTTGGACTTGTTCCTTTGTGAAATGTTTGCCCATTTCCTATGCCCATTTCTTGAGTGGCTTGTTTGTTTTGGTTTTTTGGTTGTTTTGAAGTTCTTTGTATATCCTGGAAATTAGCCCCCTATCGCCTATATCGTGTGCAAAGATCTTCTCCCACTCTGTGGGTTGCTTTTTTACTTTGTTGATTGTTTCCCTTGCTGTACAGAAGCTTCTTAGTTTGATGAGGTCCCATTTGTTTATTCTGTTCTCAACTGCTATTGCTTTTGGTGTCCTTCTTAGAAAGTCAGGACCTACTCCTAGGTCTTGCAGGGTATTTCCTACATTTTCTTGCAAGAGTTTGAAGGTTTCTGGATGTAGGTTTAGGTCTTTTATCCATGTAGATTGGATCTTAGTGTATGGTGATAGATGTGGGTCTATCTTTTTGTGTCTGCAGGCTATCAGCCAGTTGTCCCAACAACATTTACTGAAGAGGCCTTCCCATTTGCTTGGACTGTCGTTGGTCTTTTTGTCAAAGATTAATTGGCTGTATTTGTGTGGGTCCCCTTTTGGTGCTTCTATTCTATTCCATTGATCTTCCTTTCTATTTTTGTGCCAGTACCAGGCTGTTTTGATAACCACTGCTCTATAGTATGTCCAGAGGTCCGGAATTGTGATTCCCCCTGCTAACTTCTTATTCTTCAGGATGGTTCTAGCTATTCGTGGTTTTTTGTGTTTCCAGATGAACTTTTGAATCATTGTATCCAGTTCCGTGAAGAATGTCAGGTGGGTTCTTGTTTGGTGACTTCCATGGTCCATCCTGCAATCCACTGCCCTCAGCTCTCTGCGTAAACTGGCATGTGTTGCAGTCCCACAAGGGTGAACTCATCTCCTACAGAATCTTTCCCCAGATCCATTTCTCTTGCTTTCTGGTGGATGCTGTGGCTTAACCTGCTGTGGCCCACCCACTGCAACACTTGTGAATGACTATTATGGGCTAGCACAGCCAGGTATGCCTCCCAGCCCCAGTCTTCAAGTGCACCAGCAAGTGCAGGTGATGCTGTTTAGCCCAGCCCGGGTCTCCCACGTGGGCCAATGTTTTAGTGTGAACCAGACATGCCCTCTGGTTTTCCCCCACTAAACCACACATTTTCAGCTCCCTTGCCTACCTATGAGTATGGTGGTCTGATCCATGGAAGACCCCAAAAGTCATTCCTTCCCTGTCCAATTTGCACCCAGTCTTTCCCACTGCAATACATTCCCAGACACCTTCCTCAGGCAATCTACAGTCCCCAACCAGGGGCTGTAGTGGTATCTCCCGAACCAGAGGTCCTGGTTTCTCCACTTATCTCTTTCTAAAAAATGAAAGAAAAAAAAAAGGATAAGCAACTATGCTGGCATATTGGTATAGTTCATATAAATTTGGTGTTAACTAGGCCCAACATGTCTACCAGCTATTGGCTGCTTTTTTCCCAGCAATGTAAATATTATCTAGTAAGGCAACCTAGGCAGTTGCCTACACCTGGGAAGAATGCTGGCATTGGAAGCAGTAGCTTAACTTGCTGTACCACAGAGCTGTTACCATTACTTTCCTTCTGAAAAGGCTAAGAGTTGGTAGAAGATATTAATCCAAAAAATGTATAAAGAACAGGAAATTATTTTGTCTGTACATCATCCATATTTCTGCTATTCCTAAAGGTTAATTAATACCAACCTAACTAGAATTTTTACACATGTTCACTGTGGAAACAACAGTAATGAAAATAAAATATATATATATAATAGAAATAAATATATAAAATAGAAAATTTTACATAAAATTTCAATGCCAAAAAGTAACAAATTTTAGTATGCACATTTCCTTAGTTAATACAAGTCTGTGTGGTACAAGAGTTATGGCGCAGGTGGATTAAACCACTACTTGGGAAACCAGCACATGTATTGGAATGGTAGACTAACTTTTGCCTCTACTTCAGATATAGCTCCCTGCTAATATGCAGCCTAACTCAAGTACCTGAGTGTCTATCACCCATATTGGAGACCTGACATGATTCCTAGCTCTAGGTTTCAGCCTAGTCCAGCCAGGCTATTTTGGCATAATGGTGAGTAAACTAACAGGCAAATGATCAGGTTTTTTTCTCCACTTCTATCCAGATCTGACTATGTCGCTTTCAAATTAAATAACAACAACAACAACAACACCATTTTGGGCCCAGTGCAGTAGCCTCGTGGCTAAAGTCCTCACCTTGAACGTGCCAGGATCTCATGTGGGCACCAGTTCGTGTCCCGGATGCTCTACTTCCTGTACAGCTCCCTAGTTGTGGCCTGGGAAAGCAATCAAGAATAGTCTAAAGCATTAGGGTCCTGTGTGGGAGTCCCGGAGGTGGCTCATGGCTCCTGGCTTCAGATAGGCCTAGCTCTGGACATTGCAGCCACTTGGGGAGGAACCAGTGGATAGAGAGTCATTCTGTCTCTTATTCTCTTTGGATCTTTCTGATGGGATTGGATAAACCTTAAAAATTTTTTTTACAAAATCCACAAAATGAGTGTGACAGAACACATTAAGCTGCCACCTGCAAAGTCAGAATCTCATTTGGATGCCAGAGTCCCAGCTATTCTACTGCTGCTCCTTGCTGATGCACCCGAGAAAAGCAGCAAAAGACTGCCCCCACATGGGAGACCTGGCTGAAGCTACAGGTTCCTGGTTTCAGCCAGGCCCAGCCTCAGCCATTTCAGCCATTTGGGCAGAGTGAGAAAGTACCTGGAAACCCTGTGTGTGTGTGTAGCTCTGCCTTTCAAATAAATGTTTTTATTTTCAAAATGAAAAAATGAAAAACTAGCTTGCATCCATGTATAACCACACTTACTTTTTTCTCATATCAAAGTACATCTTCACAGGTAAATACATCTGTATTTATGTTGTCATCGATGGTTACCTATTATAGGATCCCATGGATTAATTTAATAATCCCATGCATTAATTTCCTAATACATGCCATTTTAAGCAGTGCTAAGAAAATAAATTTTACGTAAATTCTTACATGTGTTAGTTCTGGGTTTTCTGCTCTCTGACACTCATCTTTCCAAAAGTCAACACTGATGAATAATCTGTGGAATAGGTTTTTCTATCTAGAAAGGAAATTAAGGGGCCGTCTATTCACTGAACTGTATTCCCTGAGGTAACAAGGATACCAGGATTAACTGTAAGAATTTCTAGCCCGGCAGCCGACGCATGCAGGAAGTACTTCTCGGACCCTGTCCGTCTGGTCTCTGGCACGAACGCCCTGGCAAGCATCAGCCCCGCGCGACAGAAGTCGCTGGTTCGGACTGGCTTTCAGCACGCCGCCCCAGGGTCTCCTGGAGTGCCTGGTCTCGGGGGCACGCACGTTACCGCCGGTCACGTCCTATCATCCTCTCAACTCGATCAACAGCGACTTCCACCTTTTCGCAGACACCTCACCTCCCCACCTGCTTTCTGCCGCCCACGCTGGCGCCGTACGCTCGCTAAAGTGCGTGCACACAAGCAAGGCGCAGCAAAAAGTTAAGCGCCTTTCAAGCCGCGCAGCCACGATCGCAGTGAATGCTCCGCACGTCAGGCTCGGGCGGAGGGGGAGTGCTCTGCGAACCAGAGGGCCCTGCACCGAGCCATTGGCAGAGCCGGGACTCACTGTCTCCAGGGTGGGCGCGGCCAGAGAGACAAACACAGGTAACTAACTGGGAGATCAGTCTTTGGGGCTAGAGTTGCCTGAGGCTTGGCGATGCTGAAGGCGACGACCAGAGGATAATCCCCTAAAATTTCTGAATCTCTTTGGTCCTCATTTCCGCGCCTTTCCCTTCGCTCTGGTTCCATCTAGTATCCCGGAGCACTTGGCAGGGGCCCACGTGCACCGCGGCTGTGGTGGCTTCAGGGATGTGTACATGCCAGTCTTCAGATGCACGCTTCCCAGAAGAAACAAAAGGGATTCCTGTGAGCCCCCAAGTCCCTCTGGCTTAACGCAACCCTGCTGTGACTTCACCTCATTTCACTGCAGTTCAGTTTAGTTTAGTGTTCCCCCATCTGTAACATCTAAAATCGTTTTCAAAATAGCTATCTTGTTCCAAACACTTCAGCTTTTTGGTACTGAGATGAAATGTCCCTTTATCTTCAGTTCCTAAATAGAACTTATTCTGAATTTTTTCATGTTGTTACATGCAATAATTTACTTTTTGCATCAATGCCCCACTACTTTAACTCTTTTATCTAATCCACATTATTTTAATACCTGTTACAGTTTTCAAGTCACTCTCTTTAGTCGTCCTTTTTAAAGCACTCTCTTGTCACTACATTAGTAGTCACTATATCAAGAAGAATTATCATTGAGATCTTGATTGTAATTGAATCAGAATTAATTGTAATTGAAGAGCAAATCTTATTCTTCCCTGGAAAATCTCTCTCTCAATCTTGGTATGTTTGAGTGCTTAAAAGATCAATTAATTAATCTGTTTATAGGGAATCTTCCATCCTCAGGTTCACTCCCCATAAGATTCCCAAAGCCAGGGATAGATCAGACTGAAGCCAACACCTGCATCTAGGTCACCCATATGATGACAGAAGCATAAACTCATGGACAGTAATCTGATGCTGTCCCAGGTCAATTAGCAGAAAACTGGGTCAGAACAGAACAGCCAAAGGCTCAAATTGAAACTCCCATCCAAGATGCAAGTGTTACAGGCAGTGGCTAAACCCTGGCCCCAAGTCTGATTTTTATTTTTTCAGAAAGATTTTTTATGAGTCAGAGACACAGATTCCCCTTCCACTGATTCACTCCCAAGGTGATCTTAAAGACTCACCCAGCCCTGGCTGTTGCAGCAGTTTGAGTAATGAAACCATATATGGAAGATCACTGTCTCTGCCTCTCTCTGTAACTCTATTTTCAAGTAAAATAAACACTAAATCTTAAAAATAAAATAAAAAGGCTAAGAGTGGGATAAGCCAATGCAAGGAGGTGAAAAGTCAGTCCAGGTCTCCAGCACAGAAGGCAGTGACACTGTGAGGAGTCAGATGGGATAATAGGCGGTTGAAGTAAGCTTTTAAAATATAAAACCATGCTTCTCCCCATTTCTTACCCTTCCAAGAGCATATTCTCCCTTTGAAGGAGAACCAGAGGATAGAGCCAACACATCAATTCTCCTCTCAGCATTATGAGAATGGGAGAACGATGCCACCAGTCCCACCCTTCTGATGCCCTCTGGTTCTGGTCGATATGCTACATTGCTTCCCATTGTGAATGAGTTACTTTTCTCTTTTTTAACCCTTTGAGTGACTCCCTGAGATGGTACATAGAAGACACCAAGTTCCACCATTTCCTGGGGTCTTTTCCCCCTTGGAGCCCCTACTGTCACTATGGCAGGAGGCCTCACTCATCCCTTCCTAAGTAAATTGTGTTTTGCAAAGGAGTTGTCCTCATGAAAATTCTTCTTTCTTGTAAAAAAAGAAACAAGGTTGCTGCCTTGTTTTGCATCCAGTTTCCCCCAACAAAATAACTACTTGAACCATCACCTGTTGCCTCCCAAATGGCACATTACTGAGCAGCTTGAACTAGGAATACAGTCAAGACTCAAATCCAATAAATGATGCAGTCATCCTAGCTGGTGTCTTAATGATGAGGTCAAATGCTGGACTCCATACACAAATTTTCCATTAGCTTTTTAAATACTCCCCTCCTGTAAATAAATCTCAAAATTATATTTCACCAAAATATGTAAACATTTTCATTCTTTTTTCCATTTAACTTTTTGAAATATGTGTGATGTGATTTCAGCAACTTAGAAAATTCCTGGGAGCCAGCATTGCAGCACAGCTATTTAAGTTGCAGCTTGCAACACTGGCGTTCCATTTCAGAGCACTAATTCAAATCCTGGCTTCTCTATTTTTAATCCAGTTTTCTGCTGATCAGCCTGGGAAAGCAGCAGAAGATGTCAAACTAGTTCGGAACTCAGTTACCCAAGAGAGTGACCAGGATGAAATTCCTGTTTCCTGGCTTTGGCCTGGCTATTTTTGTCTTGCCACAGAAAGAAAATTTCTCTCTGTGTGTGTATGTGTGTATTTCTCTTTTCCTGTGTCTCCCTTTCTGTTGCTGTATTTTTCAAATAAATGCAAATTAATTAATGATCGAAAAAATTATAAGGACAATTTTTGAAAAGCATTTCATAAATAATAAACTTAGGCTTTAAGTACCAAGAAGGACTTATACAATTTTCTTGGCCTTATATTTCTGATCTCTAGACTGACCACCAAGAGGTGAAGAGAGAGGCGGGAGCATAAGAACCTAGAGTACAAATCTACTATGCTGCATTTGCCTAAAGTATTGCAATGCCAACGATGCTAGTTGTTACAGGGGTATAGGATAGAAGGCAAGGGAGAATCTAAGAGGGTCTGAAATGTTGCAGGAAAAAAAAAGTATCTCATGCAAACCAATCTCGTGCAAACCAATCCCAAGACTGTCATTTAAAAATCAATGACATTTTAGTAAGCTGTCAGAAAAATTCACAAAATATTTGATGTAACTCCAAATGGTAGGTTTTTGGCTGCAGTACTCATCATTGCTGTGAAATTCCCATTTATATGTTTTTTAATAAAACTGTAAGCTGGGTTGGCACTGTGGAACAGAGCTTGGTACCCAAGCATCCAATATATGAATGTCAGTTTGGCTATTCTGCTTCTGATCCAGCTATCTATTGATTGACCAGGGAAGCAGTAAATATAGAAGCACAGTAGATTCCCACGTCACAGAGATTGAAATTGTCAAAACCTTATATACATTTTCTTTGGTTGATTTCTACGTGTTGAAACATGTCCATTCAGAATAGGGGTAACTTTGCTTGCTCAAATCAGGTAATACAGACAAACACAGCATGCTAACAGAAATTACATAATGAAAATTAATCTTTCCCTGACTGTTTCATATTCATAAGTTGTCTCATAAAGAGAAATGTTTTATTTCAGTCACCCCAAAATTAAGCCATATCTTTCATTACTGATAAAGAATGTTTTGAAATCAAAAGAAAAATATTTATCAACAGTTTGTGTTTTTTTACTTAGCATCGTACAATTGTTCATTGTTTTATTTCTCAAATTTCAGAAGAATTTCTGCCATATGGGTAGGATTTTTTTTCAGATATCAAGCACTACCAGGAGGAATCATCAGCAAACTTTTTGGCACAGACAGAAGAGTCAGCTGACATTTACAACATGCCTTGTACTCGTCTTTCTTTCAGGTACAAGAAATGGCCTAGAAATCGTAGTTATGGTTAGTTTTCTTAATACAGTTAAGAATTTTCTTAATTTTCTTTTTTTTTAATATGGTAATAACCAATTATATTCACATATGACCAAATTTATTTTGGGAAATGCTTTAATTCAAATGAACATATTTTAAAGATTTATTTTTATTATTTTTTTTATCAGAAAGGCGGATATACAGAGAGGAGAGACAGAGAGGAAGATCTTCCATCCGATGATTCACTCCCCAGGTGGCCGCAACGGCCAGTGCTATGCCGATCAGAAGCCAGGAGCCTCTTCCGGGTCTCCCACGCGGGTGCAGGGTCCCAAAGCTTTGGGCCGTCCTAGACTGCTTTCCCAGGCCACAGGCAGGGAGCTGGAAGGGAAGCGGGGCGGCCGGGATTAGAACCAGCGCCCATATGGGATCCCGGGCGTGCAAGGCAAGGACCTTAACCACTGTGCCACCGCGCCGGGCCCAATTTTCTTTTTTATTTTTTTAAGATTTATTTATTTTTATTACAAAGTTACAATTTTAGAGAGAAAGAGAGACAAAGAGAAAAAACATCTTCCATCTGCTGGTTAACTCCCCAGGTGGCCACAATGGCCAGAACTGAGCCAATCTGAAGCCAGGAGCTTCCTCAGAGTTTCCCATACGGGTGCAGGATCCCAAGGCTTTGGGTCACCCTCTACTGCTTTCCCAGGCCACCGGAAGGGAACTGTAAGAAAAATGGAGCAGCTGGGATATGAGCCGGCACACATATGGGATCCTGACACATACAAGGTGAGGATTTTAGCCACTAGGCTACCATGGTGGGACCTACAATTAAGAATTTACATTTGTATTTTCTTTGTTCAATATTTAAAATAACCTCACTTCACTTTGCTTCTAGATTTCAAATAAGAACAAATTAACAATGACAGAAATCAATAAAAATTAACTGGGAATAAGTCTCATATTCTAATGTTAGTTTAACCTGACAGGTGTAAGCCACTGCCAGTGTTTACGTGTGTAGTAGAGATGGCTGGAATAGAGGTCCTTATCCTCCCGTAAGAAAATGCTGTTAAGTTCTGGCTCTCAAGTCAGATACTATTTGGATACTATTCTTGGCCTGATCACAAACCAGTACACGGAGCAAACTCCACAAACATAGACATATTTTGTTTTGCTGCAGTATTGTAGTCTCCAAACAAAATTGGTTTTTGCTGCAGCATTGTAGCCTCCACACAAAGTTGGCTTTTGAACTATTTCTAACCTAAAACAATGAAAAAATTCACGTGAAATAAGGATGTCCAGTTTCTCCTGAAAACAGGAAAGATGTGGCAGCTGAGAAAACTGTGGTAATAATGGGCCAGGTCTGAATTGAGCTTGCAGCTTATATGCAGTGCCTCTGCAGTTATGTCTATGGGACAGTTATATAATGAAAAATTCACCTGAATTCTGAAAATGTTACGAGATTATTCAGTTGCTCATGGAATTTTTTATTACAACAGCAGAAGGATTTACTTGAAGCTGTATTTTTTGCTTTATTTTTAAAAGAAATTCTTATATACCTCAATAGTCTTATTATATTATGAATCAGGTGCAATTACTTCTATGGTTTTTACACTATTTCCCATGTAAGATTATTGCATTTTCTCATGTTGTCAGTGAAATATATAAAGAGTTAGGTTTGGTCTGTGGTAATAAGCTTTGCAATAAATTCAATGGAAATGCAAAAAAATATATATTTTTAGACTTAAAATAGAAAATAGTGGTGAGTAAGATAGAATGAATACCTCTTCAGATGAATAGGAGAATGCCCAGTCATTCAGACTGGGGAAGGTTGACAATGGGAATATTCCTCGCAGGCCAGTTGGGAACCACAATCAAGATCTGTCACATTTACATTCACATTGGGGCTGATATGCTTATGGAGTCCAGATAATTATGCTGATTCTTCTTTCCCCTATGCTCTGTTCCTGTGTAAAGGATTCCCTGGGTGTGGAATAAGTAACATTCTTCCCAAGGCTTTATTACCAGTATTGTAAAACAGGGAAGCATGTTTAGCAGCAGGCAACCAGAATTCTCAAGTTGTAATTTTCATCTGGGAAAGGCTGAGACCACCTATGAAGTTGTGGGCTGGACTTTTGTTGTGTAAAATACTGGGCTGCTTCCACGCTGTTTCTGAGAAAGCTACATTCCTTTCTACTGGCACTTTGTTTTCATTAGAGCCCTTTCACACACATAAACAAATTTCTGTGTCTTCATACCTAACATTAGTTTGTATCCAAAATATACACATACTAAAGGTATTTAGGTGTATCTGCTTTTTTAGAACTGACAAATTATATAAAAATAATTTCCAAGAATGGTACTTGGCAATGGGTTACTTTAATGTTTCTGTAAGAGAAACAATTGAAGAGATTACAGTTTAAGAGATTAGGGCTGCAATGGTGGAATGAGGAGAAGTGAGTTCTGTGTTATGATGCAAAACATTTAAATATTTCAAATGAATGTTTTAATCTTGTTCATCATTTCAGATACACAAACATGTTTTCATATTGAGTTTCAGTTTTTTAAAGATAATGTATTTGAAATTTAAAAAAAATGATTCTGTGTATATGTTACACATTTTAAAAGTTCCTAAACAGTTTTTTTTAAGTGTGCAACTTGAATTGACAAAGGTATTTTTAAATGTTACTTTTCCACAGATAGATTTTAGGAAGACTAGTCTTTGCTAGCATGGTTGATTTTAAATGACAAGTAAATCCCTAGGCCATATGGTAATGAAATACTACACTTGCTTGTTAGAACATATGGAAACAATTCCAGACAGACACCAAGCAGAGGAAAATGTGCCAAAAATACAGTTCATTTCATGTATTTCAAAGGAAATGAAATCTCAGAATCTAACTAGACCACGCAGTCTTCATCCCCTCCCCCAACCCCCAGCAAAATCCACTTTAGCACTTCAGTTTTGAGTTTAACATTAGCCTCTGATTTTAACAGCAGAAGCTTTAAAACACACGGAGGGCTTCTGGGATGTCTGCACAGCCCCCAGTCACTCTCTCACCCCAATGACAAGTAAAAGCACCTGGCAAAGCTTTTTTCATATGCTAAAAAGCAAACTATCTACTGTGCTTAAGAAAACAAGTAGCAGCTCTGCAGGAGTAAAGTGAAAGGAAATAGGAAGCCTGCCAAAGGGATCTAAACTTAGAAGAAACAAAGCTGCCAGCTGGAAATCACTGAGCAAGGTTAACTTGCTGCTTGGGACTCTAACATTCCATTTGCGAGCATTGGTTTGAACCCTAGCTATTCTATTTCTGATCCAACTTCTGGAAAATATACCTGAAAAGGCAGCAGATGATGGCTCAAGTACCCATGTAGGACACCCAGATTTTGCATGGCTAACACACTGGCTGTTGTATGCTCTTAAGGAATAAAGCAGCAGATGGAAAATCTCATTCTCTTAAAATGAAACTTAAAAAAAAGATTTTGTAAGAAATCAAGTGTTAGAGAGGATCCCTTTTCCTCTTTGTGTTTGTAGGGCAGATTTACTCAAGTTAACAACGGTTTAGCAAGACTTTCCCAAGACACCAAATGCAATGACCTTTGCAGTAAATGTGATATTGTGTCTGGTGTCGATAGCAGGTAAGCCTGCTGCTTGCAATGTTGGCCTCTACTCCACTTATGATTTAGCTCCCTAGGAAAGCAGCAGCAGAAGGCCGAAGTGCTTGGGCCCTGCCACCCACATGGGAGACCAGAAAGAAACTCCTGGTTTGGACTGGCCTAGTCCTACTCATTAAAATGATCATCTGGGGAGTGAACCAACAGATGTAAGATCAAGCTCTCTATCTCTCCCTCTCTAACTTTGCCTTTCAGAAAAAAATCATAACAATAAATTAAGGCAGTAAAAGGATACGACTCTACAGTTAGTTTATTTCTAAATGAACTAGAAGTCCCTGCAAGCCCCAAAATGTAAGGTTATCTCTGTCAGTCAAAATGACCCATTTCTTAGGATACACCTATTTCATTACAGACTTGGAGAAAATAATGGTGGTGCTGTACACAATGATGTTTTGAAATTAAGTTCCCTACGGAACTTTTGGTGATACTGTAAAATTCCCAGTTGTCCTCATATAAAGGAAAGGCACCGCAACCATTTACTTCATGAAAGAGACTGGGAAACACCACAGCACAGCCGGTATAGCCACTTCCAGCAACATATCATTTCAGTGGGCTCCAGTTTGAGTTCCAGCTCATCCACTTCCAATCCAACTCCTTGTTTATACACCTGGGAAGGCAGCAGAAGATCGCCTAAATACCTGGGCCTCTGCCACCCATGTGGAAAACCTAGATGAAGATCCTCGCTCCTGGCTTACAGCTGGCCCAGCCCTGGCCTTGGCACCTTCACAGTCCTTTGGGGAGAGAACCAGAGAAAAGATCTTTCTCCCTCTCTCATTTCCTTCCCTTCTCCCTTCCCCTCTCACTTTATCTCCCTCTCTTTTTATCTGGGTAACTTTCAAAGAGGGAAGAAACATCTCTTTTGCCAAGAACCAAGGCTAAAGATGCTATGTAGGGTTGTCTTCCACTTTCTCCCTCTTTTGATAGCCTTTTGTCACACTTTAACAGGTGTTTCTCTATGTGGGGCAATCCCTCAGTCACATGTGGATGTAAACAGTTTTTTTTTTTGTTTTTGTTTTCTTTTTTTTTTTTTTTTTTTACTGTGAAACGAATCCTGTCCCTAGTTGTACACTCTATACACAGTTGTGCCTCTATACACAGAAATCTTATCTTTGTCATAGAGAAGAATCTAAAATGAAGATTAGAATTTGGTCATATCCACAAAAGGGTCAGAGTCCTCTTTGATGTTCTGAGCTGAATGACTTCAAAGACTGCAATAAAGAAAAAAGGAAAGTATTAGGAGCATGATGGGAACAATCTTTCAGATTCATTGCACAGTCACATAGATTTCCCAGAACATGGGCACCCTTCTATTGAACCTGTGTTGGGTGACCAGAAAGTTGCTTTCTTTGTCTTTCATTGTATCTGCTGGATTTTTTTAAAAGATTGTTGCATTTTTATTGAAAAGTCAAATTTACAGAGAGAAAGAACCCAGCGGCATGGCCTAGTGGCTAAAGTCCTTGCCTTGCATGCACTGGAATCCCATGTTGGTGCCAGTTCTAATTCCGGCAGCTCCACTTCCCATTCAGCTCCCTGGTTGTAGCCTGGGAAAGCAGTTGGGAACGACCCAAAGCCTTGGGACCCTGCACCCACGGGGGAGACCCGAAAGAGGACCTGGTTCCCTGGCTCCAGATCGGCATAGCACCGGCCGCTGCAGTCACTTGGGGGATGAATTGGTGGGTGGAAGATCTTCTTCTCTGTCTTTCCTCTTCTCTGTATATCTGACTTTGTAATGAAAATAAAAAATAAAAAAATAAATTACAGAGAGAAGGATAGACAGAAAGATCTTCCATCTGCTGGCTCACTCTCCAAGAGGCCTCAATAGCCAGAGTTGAGCTGATCAGGAGTCAGGAGTTTCTTCAAGGTCTCCCATTCAAGATCCCCTACTGCTTTCCCAGGACACCAGCAAGGAGCTTTAAGGGAAATGGAACTAGGATACAAACCATCCTAGGTGAGAACTTCAGCCACTAGGCTAACAAGCTGGGCCCCATATCTGCTTGAATTGTACCACCCAAGAATCTGCTTTCTGCAGGATGGGTCTTCAGTGCAGAGCTTGTATTTATAATCTGTTCACATCTCCCTTTAAAATGCATATTAAAGAAAGCTATTGAGTTCTCTTTCCAGCCATGATGGCTGCCCAGTGTACAAAGTAGACCTCTAGAAAGCATACAGTGCTTATGGAATTCAGATTTGATGTCACTGTCAGCTGCCTGGATTGTGCTAAAACAGTACTTAGCAAACAACTCCCTCCACACTAACCAAGCAGGAATTAAATGAACTTTCTGATGTTTCAAATCTTTTTCACCCACCTTTGCTTATATGTTCAGAGAGCGTGCAAATTTCAGCTAATATTTTGAATTCTAAAGCCAATTTCTGCCCTTGCTCAATATTATCTCCCGCGTAACACTTTTTTTTTATCATTCAAACATTTGCAAAATCAGCAGACTGGTTAATAGATTATACTCTTCAACAGAAACAACTTGAAAAGATATCATTTTATATCCCCCGCAAGAATACCCACATCTCCAGTAAGATGAGGAAGGAAAAGCACTTCACAATTAGGGCAAATGGGAGTAGCGCCATCTCTCCAGTTTGCACTGCATCTGTCAGTAAATCATGAGCACACCACATTAGAGCTGCTATTCCTGGAGTTAAAGGAGGTTCTATTAGATTCTAATATTGAACATATTCATCCATCCTTGAGTTCAGTCTTTCCCACTGAAAGGATTTTCAATGAAAGTTGAGAAGATATGTTCTCAAAAATTAGTGCCAGCATCTCCACATTCTACTAAAAAAAACATGGCGACATTGTGGTACATTTACCTTTATGTTTGGAATAAATATGTCTCATTGGCGTACTCATCTATGAATTATATATCCAAATTAATAACACATATTCACTTAATTAAAAAATTTTAGTATAATGTACATAAAAATAAAAGGTGTTTTCATGAATTTTCTTTTTTTTCTACTAATTTATGAAACAAATTTGAAAGAGGAATTCTGAAGCTTTTAAAGTATCGAAAAAGCAGGTCTGGGAAAAACGATCAGAATTTGGTTAATACTTACAAATATATCAAGTTCATTTGCATTTTCCCAAAATGTAAACTCTTCTTGATTCATTTTTGTTAGCCTACATTTTACAGAACCACTTTTCCCCTCTTAGTACTTTTGTTTGTTTTTATAAAATACAGGCTTTTTCTTTCAAGATTCATTTAGAACATAAAGTTACATGGAAACAGATGGAGAGATATTTAGAGAGAGACAGAAAGAAATCTTCCATCCACCCATTCACTCCCCAATTGGCCACACAATGGAGCCATTTCTTTCCAGGTAGCAATACTGAAGGATTTAGTCATAGCTTGCTGTTTTCCCATGTGCATTAGAAGGAAGCTGGATTGGAAGTAGAAGAACTGAGACTTAGACCAGTGTTCATATGGGATGCCAGCATTGCAGGCAGCAGATTAATATGCCATGCCAGTATGCTAGCCAGAAAATGAGTATTTATTAGTCTTATAGTGGTTTGAGAAACATTAAGCTTCATATTGCTTATTCTTTTAAGATTTATTTAATTTTATTGCAAGATCGGATATATAGAAAGGAGGAAAGACAAAGAGGAAGATCTTCCATGCGATGAGTCACTCCTCAAGTGACTGCCACAGCCGGTGCTATGCCAATCTGAAGCCAGGAGCCAGGAAATTCCTCCAGGTCTCCCATGTGGGTGCAGGGTCCCAAGGCTCTGGGCCATCCTCAACTGCCTTCCCAGGCCTCAGGCAGGGAGCTGGATGGGAAGTGGAGCTGCCAGGATTAGAACTGATGGCCATATGGGATCCCAGCATGTTCAAGGTGAGGATTTCAGCTGCTAGGCCACCGCGCCAGGCCCCATATTGCTTACTCTTAAAACTGATTTTGTATCTTTCACATTTTTAAACAGCATTGTACTGTACCTATTTTTATCAATAATTTCATGGGTTTCCTGTCCTTTTCTCCCTTGGGTATATCTCCAAAGTCTTCTGTTCCTCCCTGACTACCGTTGAACAAGTGTCAATCATAGGCATTGTAAACAGGTTTCAGTTAGGAGTAAGGCACCTGAAAACATGTGTCTATACCTTGTATGGATGTTAGTGGAAGAACAAACAGCTGGTTCCTTTGACAACACCTTCAGGTTGGTTGACTTGCTAGCCTCAGGGAGCCGCACAGTGATGGATGAGGGAGGCTCAAGGCCTTTGTCAAAAATGATGTGGTCAGGTTCTTTCCATCCACAGGCTGGGTAGTCCATGAAGGAAACTCCTCTTAAGTTTCTCTGCGACTCTCTTATTGTCCAGCGCAGTTGAGAGCCTTTACCTCCTCCTTCAAGGACGCACAGACTTTGCAGGCCAACTGCAGAGGAGAGAATTCCAATGTACATCCTGCACCCTTGACTGAGCATGTTTCTGAGTAACCTGAAATTTGATTTCTCCAACTGCGCCACACTAGAAAGGTAGCAGTGGACTCACCATGATTGCCAGCTGTGATTTCTCCCCCAAGCCTCTTTTGGAATTGGAAACTTACCAACTTAGGGAACTTGTGAGAGCCAGGCCATATCCAGAACCAGCTACATTCCCTCTTACAATCAGATAGTTGAAGGTGCCTGCAATTCCAACAGTTGAAAATCTGAATCATTCCATATGCATGGCCATGGAGGATACAGCTGGCCCACAAGTAAGATGCATTTGGTTTTCTACTCCCCTTTTTGAGATGTGCAATAGGAGGGAACACTATTCTTACTTTCACCTGTTCTTTGCTCCATCCTTTATCAAGTTCATGGGCTTTATCTAATGGCCATAGCAACCCCAGCTGTGCTGACAGTGGGGCCACCCTGTGCCCAGTGTTCAGTCTGGTGCTTGGCACAGCAGCTATCTTCACTGTAATCTCGATGACAGTGTGTTTCTGCTCTGTCGTAGCCATGCCCATGTTGGTCCCTGTGT